TCCATGAATTATGGCGTTTTCCCACTTTACCCATGAATTATGGCGTTTCCCCACTTTACCCATGCACTCTGGCGTTTTCCCACTTTACCCATGAATTATGGCGTTTTCCCACTTTTCCCATGAATTATGGCGTTTTCCCACTTTACCCATGAATTATGGCGTTTTCCCACTTTGCCAATTGTTCAACTCCCTCTTACTTGGTTTGAATTTAAAATAAACCGGGAGTGATCTCCCCTAAACTTTCTCGAATATTCTTATATAAAACAACAGGGGATGGGAACTCGGGCTATAGACATGATTTTTAATCCATTTTAAATACTTAAAGTTTTAAAAATAGAATAAAGTCTCGTAGACAAAAGAGTTGCACTCCAAGTGAACGCTAAATAAAAAAGTGCATAATAGTGCGCAATATTATTAATACTTTAAAAATTTACATTACTACTTCCGGTCAACGGAAATTACTCAAAATTTAACAGAAGGTAGAGAATTAGATCTTTTACTTACATGTGAAATTTCATTTATCTATCTGAAATAGTACTCAAGTTATAGGCTTTTGAAAAATTCAAAGTAGAAAAAGTACCACTTCCGGTTGTCGGAAATCGCTCAAAAGTTGATACGGATCTACGATTTTGATATAATACTTATATATGAAATTTCATCAACCTAGCTGTAACGGTACTCAAGTTATCGTGTTTACACACGGACAGACACACAGACACACAGACACACACACACACAGACATACGGACAAGATTGCAAAATTATGTTTTTCCGTATCAGTGAGGTGTAAAACGTCGAGATTTGTAAAAATCTCGATTTTTTTTTTTGCACGATTACAATACTTTCTCTATACTACGTATATACGAGAAAGTAAAAACAAACAACTGAAAAAACTTTAAAAAAAAAATTACTTGCAGGATTATTTGTAATCGTATGCTTTGATATTTTCGTTGGATTCTATTTTTAATCTTTGTGTTAATATCAGTATTATCAGTTCTAACGTATGGTATGGGCCAACAGTTAAAATAATGTTCAAACATTAGACGAAAAAGACAACACTTTTATACAACACAAAGATGAAAGATTTGGAGATCTCGCCAAGTCTCACCTGAATATCTCACTCAACGAGATGTGTAAAGGGATACCAGACAAGGGTTCAACCAAATGCTTGTAGCTAAGACAAAACAAGTGGCATGATATGAGAGATGTGCTAAACAGTCATGTTTTATTTTGTACTGCTCTTATATGCACGTGACCTAGTGTTTTGTAGGAGCACGTGACCCTTTGTTTTGTTTTGTCTAGTGTTCATATGGTTTCTATTGTTTCCCTGATTAATTGAGTGTCGAGTTCAGCTTAATTAAGCAGAACTGTTAATCATGTTTGCTTAAAGAGGCGAACTGGAGGAAAAAAAAACAAGATATAAAAATAATAAGCGTGTGTGGGTGGGTGGGGGGGGGTGGGGCTTCTGAAAATGTGGAGCATTCGTTTGTGAACAAGATTTTCTAACATGTCATACAACCCACCCCCACCCCTTCTCGGACTCCCTTGACTCTCCAAAATTTCCTGGGTGAGTACATATTTCCATACTGGTCTCATACCAATACCCTGCGTCCACCTCAACAACCAACACCAGACAACCCTACATCATCAACCCATCAACCCACACATACACACCACAACAACCCATCTGACCCACCCACACACCACAACAACCCACCTGTCACACACGTACCGCACAAACCCACCCCATCGACCCACCGGGTCCAATGAAACCCACCTTGCACCCTAAACCCAACGACCCCAGACACTAGACACCACTACCCCCCCCCACAGCAGATCTAGATCTACCACACACATTAGTCTACAATGCAGACAGACACAGATCCACATCTAGATCTACCACACACATTAGTCCACAATGCAGACAGACACAGATCTACTGCTAGATCTAGACCAGACATTAGCCATCAATAGCCGATAAAACCACCGTTACCCACAATGCACCTGCACCGTTTATTGGTGTGTTATTTAGACAGGCCAAAATGAAAGCATTCTTCTCAGGTTGATATCTGCTACATGGAGTTACGTAGTTTAATGTCTTCCTTGCAGGTGTTTCTAGATGTGTAGGCCTCTACAGGTGTCTATATGTAGGTGATTTAGGTTTGTAAAGGTGAGCTTGGTGTTTTAAGTTTCTACATGTATTCATACTTTGGGTGTTTTAAATTGCTACAGGTGTTTTACATGCTGGGTGTTTTTACTGTTTTAGAATTTTAAGGTGTTTACGTATTTTGTGATTTAGGCATCCAGGCTCGATTGTATATGTGTTGTAGAAAATATTACCGGAGTTACAAAAATAAATAACAACAACAGAATTTTGTGATGTAATAAGTCATACAGCAAGTCACACAAAAAGTCATACAGCAAGTCATACAGCAAGTCATACAGCAAGTCATACAGCAAGTCATACAGCAAGTCATACAACAAGTCAAGTCATACAGCAAGTCATACAGCAAGTCATACAGCAAGTCAAGTCATACAGCAAGTCAAGTCATACAGCAAATCAAGTCATACAACAAGTCATACAGCAAGTCATACAGCAAGTCATACAGCAAGTCATACAGCAAGTCGCACAGCAAGTCATACAGCAAGTCGTACAGCAAGTCATACAGCAAGTCATACAGCAAGTCATACAGCAAGTCATACAACAAGTCAAGTCATACAGCAAGTTAAGTCATACAGCAAGTCATACAGCAAGTCAAGTCATACAGCAAATCATACAGCAAGTCATACAACAAGTCATACAGCAAGTCATACAGCAAGTCAAGTCATACAGCAAGTCATACAGCAAGTCAAGTCATACAGCAAGTCATACAGCAAGTCAAGTCATACAGCAAGTCATACAGCAAGTCAAGTCATACAGCAAGTCATACAGCAAGTCAAGTCATACAGCAAGTCATACAGCAAGTCAAGTCATACAGCAAGTCATACAACAAGTCAAGTCATACAACAAGTCATACAGCAAGTCAAGTCATACAGCAAGTCAAGTCATACAGCAATTCATACAGCAAGTCAAGTCATACAGCAAGTCATACAGCAAGTCAAGTCATACAGCAAGTCATACAGCAAGTCAAGTCATACAGCAAGTCATACAGCAAGTCAAGTCATACGACAAGTCACACACCAAACCATACACCAAACTCCACAGTACAGTCTCGACCTAGGATTTAAACTGCACCCAATGACCCGCCCTAAGACACGAACGAACAGACGACTCTATTGTCGTCTGCGGATGTCGCCGGGAGATTTACAGCAGTTGGGCGTGTCAACCTGCCGGACACGGGGCAGATCAGGTAACAGCTGCCCCGGGCACCGTGAGGGCAGTGGTGTAGCGGATAGCACCGGATAGATATTTGGAATAAATCTTAGTCTGTCTCATGTCTAGAAATTTTGACACACTTGAGTTCAACGGCAAAGATTAAGGATCTTTTAAATTTCTTTCTTCGTCTCGTTCAGAACTATGATCTTTTCATTTTTTTAAATACGTCTGTCTTGTCTTAAATAAATCTTGGTCTAGTCTAAGTTTTAGGTTAGATATCAGAAGATCATTGAGCCTGGCAATGTGAAGATCTAAAGATCATTGACCCTGACGATGTGAAGATCTCAAGATAATTGAGTCTAGCGATGTTTTATTGTCAAAGATTCCGGTTATTTTGTATCCTCTGAATGAACTTATAACATACACTTTCTCCAACATATACTTTTTCCAACATACACTTTCTTGAATAAAACATAAATAAAACACGTGTCTTAACATCCTGTCTTAAAAACTTGAACATATTACCTGATGTATAACATTAAGAAAATTGAGACGAAAAAAATATACATTTATGCCACATAATACGAAATGCATATTTTAAGCGGAATAAATTTCGCATAATTTAAAGCCACACAGAGGAAAAAAAATTCGATGAGATTTTTGTGAGGGCGAGATTATGGGGCTCATGGTGTATTATATGGGGGAGGGGGTGGGGGGTGGTCATATCTACATTATGTCGCAGGGGGAGGGGTATAGACAACATTTGGGTAGAAGTCTGGTGCGCCTCTGTTCATGAATACAAGCCAACAATTTTGTTCAGTTCAAATTTTCTCGTTGAAATAAGAACGGCTGGGAAGTTTTGCATTTAAAAAAACTTTTTTTTACAGTATCAAGTGTCAAGTTTTTTTTTAAAAGTTTTAATGTATGAAGTATCACATTTAGAGATAATTTTAACACTGCTTCATAATAATTTTTTGAACAGAAGTTAAGAAATGAGAAATTATAAAGATGCTGTTTGCTAAAAACGTATGTCGACCCTTGACCAGGGACTAAGCCACAGGAAACTAACAGTCTCAGATGACATCGTGATGTTCATCTATAATCACATCATGATGTCCACTTCATATCACATCGTGATGTCCACCTTAGGTCAGATGTAAACAAAGCCACTTAACAACTCGAAATGGTACAAGATATCACGAGAAACCACGAGAACATGTTTTAATTACCCCAATGAAGTTCTTCAATGACAGGCGAGATTAGACGAGATTTGAGGTTATTAGACGAGATTTGTGGTTAAGTTCCTCGACAGCTTAACCACATACGATTTAATCGATCATCTCATTTCATGGATACGTTTTTATCCAATTTACCTTTAGAAATTGGATACGTGTCTTGAAGACACAAATATCTGCTAATTAATTTTAACGCTTCAACGTAACTAGTGTCGTGGTCTTAATTTGTAGCCGTGCTAACGAACATTTAAACCACCATATATATATATATATATATATATATATATATATATATATATATATATATATATATATATATATATATATATATATATATATATATATATATATATATATATATATATATATATAACAAGAATATTGTTTGCTAGCTATGTTAAGCAAAGTACACATTAACATTTTAATTTTAATCAAACATGTTTTCCTACCTTCTTATCGCAGTCCGAAAATTGGTTGCTATGGACGCCTGCAGCGAAGGACGATACCACTAAGAAGAGGGGTGACAGGAGCCACCAAACGTGCATGGTGTGGGTGGCAAGCCATGGGGCCCGATAGGTGGCCAGTCTGTTGTCAAAAATCGCTGGGTGGGGGCAGGGGGTGTCTCACTGACAGAACAGCGGATGTGACGTCATCTATAGCTTTATCTCAAACTGTGGCGTCATAGTGTCAAACAGCGCAGGGCGAACGAATACAAAATAATTGAACTATTTTTTTTGAAAGTCTGTTCGATGGGATGGAATCCTCAGTTTTGGGAATACACTCAGTGTATAAATAGACGTGAGCCCATGCTGCCATACGATCAGATGACGTAACTATATACAGCGTTGTGACGTCATGAGCCAGTGCCGGTGCAGCCGCCAGACGTGTTGAGGGTGTCCCATGATTGTTCTCCGCGAGGTTCCCAATGTGGAATGGTGTCACAGAGAGGCGTAGTGATGACTTGTGTTAGTGTTCCTGAAAATAGTCAAATAAAAGGTTTTACAGGATGGTATGGTACATAATAGAATCTAGAGTCTATTGTTTTGGTTACTATCAGACGGGACGTATTCAAGTCAGTGTTTCTTAATGTCTTTTTTCTCCAAGGGGGGGGGGGGGCGATATACGTGTTTCGAGGGCGGGGCGGTTCCCCACGAAGAAATGTCTGAAAGAAAACTGATTTTAGGACGTGTTTTAGTCAATTGTTTTTTTTTTTTGCTAGTATCGACCATGACGTATTCGAGTGTATTATTTTGGCTAGTATCTTTAGTTTAATCGAGTGTATTATGTTAGCTAGTATCGTTACAAGCCCTTCCCTAACCCCAGTACTCGTCATGACCATAACACTAGATCACATTCTAACCCTACTCTCAGCCGTGACTGTAAACGATGGCAGTAAAAAAAAACAACTTTACGATTCTGAAAATAAAACCTGCCTAGTGGTGCGTCAGAGTGGTATAAACTAAGTTTACAACACCAACAATACGTACAAGAAACACAAGAAACGCTAACTGCTACAAGCCGACAGTCAAACAAATCGATCTAAAATCCTAACCCAACGTTTAACATAACCCGAGCAAAACCACAACTTTCTACTTAACCATCAATGGACGTCGTGAATGGGCCGCTATAACGGTTATGTCTAAGTGTATAAGCGTTGGCATGGGCGTACACGTTGAGCATCATAGTAAAACCACAGACATATTTCAAGCGGTCATAAACACATTCTCACGATCAACACGACGAAACACCAACACCACCAATGTACCACGTGACCGTAAACACCTACACACAATCAAGACTACAAAACACCATCAATGACCCCGGTGACCATACACACCTTCACACAATCAAACATCAAAACACCCACACCACCAGTAACACCACTAAATTCCCCATTGTGGGAAGACCATTGTCGCCAAACTTTCACGTCGTCGAGACCTCTAGCCCCCCCCCCCCCCCCCCTCCCCCATGCCCCCCCCCCCCCCCACACCCCAGACACAAAACACAGCTTTGTTTTGACAAGGGAGCTAACAGAGCTATTGAAGATTTGACTGGTCCGGACCCTGCCCGACAGCGTTGTTTAATTTTTCTAACATTAGAACATCAAACAAAGGCGAATGGGGGTTAAATTCTTCCAGTAGAACATAACAATAGAACATAATGGAACATCATAGAACATAATTTCCTGACAAAGCTGGGATTAAATCGAAGACTGAGTGCAGATTAGTATTGTAGTACAACTGATACGACTGGATGGAGATTACCACGTGATACCCGTTTGTAATTTTTTTTGGCTGGTGGTAGCCACGTAAAAGCTGTACGTAGTTGTTTGATTAGCTGGTGGTAGCCACTTTATTGCTGTCTTTACGACATATTTCAATGTACAATACATTTTTAACTCTCACGTAACACAATTATTTTAATAAATACAGATTTAAAACTTCTTGTTGTTGTAGTCTAGACAACAAAGTGTAGGCAGCAAATTTGATTAGACAATCGCTAACTGTTGTTGAGGTTAGGTCACTAGATTTGATGTTGTTAGGTCCCTAGAACTATTGTGGTTAGGTCACTAGAACTGTTTTTGTTAGGTCCTTAGAATTGTTGTGGTTAGGTCACTAGAATTGTCGTGGTTAGGTCACTATAATTGTTGTGGTTAGGTCCCTAGAATTTTTGTAGTTAGGTCACCAGAATTGTGGATAGGTCCCTAGAATTGTCGTGGGTAGTTCATTTGAATTGTTGTGGTTAGGTCCTTAGAGTTGTCGTAGTTAGATCAATAGAACTGTCGTAGTTAGGTCAATAGAATTGTTTTAGTTAGGTCACTAGAATTGTTGTGACACTCCAATCACAATCACAGCTAGTGTGGCGCTAGTCAGACAATAAGCCCAGGTCAAAGAGTCGCAGAGATCCAGGATAAAGGCCGGTAATAAACTTCAGCACCTAGTTATCGTCCCTGTGCCAGTACATGTGACAAAAGCCTTACACCTGGAGCTAGGGGAGATAAGCATGGGCGTTAATCATGGCCAGCTTTCACGGGCTGGCCATCACACACGGGCCATTAACGCTTAATTGGCCGTCACCAGAGTCGTGTTGTGAGAGTGGCTAGCTGGTCGGTGAGATTGTCGCTTGGGTGATGTGTGAAATAACGTGGTTCGTCACTTTGTTCGTGATGGTGACTTGGTGATCCGTGAAATAACGCTGTTCGTCATTTTGTTCGTGATGGTGGTTGGGTGATGTGTGAAATAACGTCACTTTGTTCATGACGGTGGCTGGGTGATGTGTGAAATAACGTCACTTTGTTCATGACGGTGGCTGGGTGATGTGTGAAATAACGTCACTTTGTTCATGACGGTGGCTGGGTGATGTGTGAAATAACGTCACTTTGTTCATGACGGTGGCTGGGTGATGTGTGAAATAACGTCACTTTGTTCATGACGGTGGCTGGGTGATGTGTGAAATAACGTCACTTTGTTCGTGATGGTGGCTGGGTGATCCGTGAAATAACGTTGTTCGTCACTTTGTTCGTCAACATTTTTTTTTACATCTGACACGTTTTTGTTTACATTTGAAAAGCTTCGTTTGGTCATTTGTGTGGTCAATTATGTTGTTATATTTTGTATGGTTAGTCAAAGGTCATTCGTGTAGTCTTTGAATTAGTCAGTCATCAAGTCAGCTGAATTTAGATGAACACAAAAGACTCGCGGTCGGACATTCAATCATTTTAGTTTATTTGATTCAAATAAAATAAAGAGAATATACTTATATTACACGACAGGGGATGGCAACTCGGGATAGAGACGTGTTTTTAATACATTTTTAATTACTTAAACTTTTTAAAATAGAATAGAATTTCGTAGAAAAAAAGAACTGCGCACTAAGTGAACACCAAACAGTATGTGTATAATAGTGCGGAATATTATTAGTACTTTATAAATACACATGTTTTTTAGAAATCGGCAATAGCGTAAAGTACTATTTCCGGTCACCGGAAATTATTCAAAATTTGATAGAAGGTATAGAATTAGTACTCAAGTTATAGGATTTTAAAAAAACCAAAAGTAGAATAAGTTCTTATTCCGGTTACCGGAAATCGCTAAAAAGTTGTTCCAGAACTACAAATTTGATATAATTCTTAGATATGAAATGTCATCAACTTAGCCGTAACGGTACTGAAGTTATCGTTGTCACAGACACACAGACACACATACACACATACATACGGACAAAATTGCAAAACCATTCTTTTTCAGACTCAGGGAGGTGAAAAAAGTCAGATTTGTGAAAATCTCTATTTCGATTTTTAGCACGATTACAATACTTCCTCTATATTTCGTATACGAGAAAGTAAAAAAACAACAACATACAAACTACTAACATATAATAATACGACATCAAATGACATTGAAGCCGTGGATATTTAGCTTACAGCTCCCGGAGCCGTAACATAAGGAAGGTTAAATAGATCTAAATTAGAAAAACAGCTGGTAGTTTAAAAAAAATAAAGTACCGGCACAGAAGGTAAGTAAAGTAAAGTTTCCCTTTCAAACCTGACGGTCTATGGGACAAGTGAAGTAGAGTTCACTTGTTTCTGTGACCTCGGCATATGAAGAGATAGTGTGGTCAGCACTATGCCCAGCCGCCTTTACTGTCCCTAACATGAGTTAGGTACCCATCAGAGTTGGGTGGACTCAGGGACGGTCTACTGACTTGAACCCGGATTCGAACTCGAGACTTACGGGTTAGCAGTCCAGCTCTCTACCGCTAGACCACTCCGTCCCATGGCACAGAAGGTAGTGAGTGTTAAATTGGTGGTGTCGCTGTATGGATGTCCGCGAGGCGAGGGGGTGTTAATATGTTTCTATGACCTCGGTCATTACATAGCGACCCATAGGGTACATGCATTTTCTGTTTCTGTGGTATACTGAAGGATAGCGAGGTCAACACTAATCAAACCACGTGAGGTCAGTGCTCGGTGGACTGGAACTCGCGATCTTCCAGACCGCAGTCGTGCGCTCTATCGCACGACCACGCCGCCTCTAGACAAAAGGGGTGGACAAATGTATTTTCTTGTATGATCAGCTCGTTATGTTTTATGATGAGAAGTAGCAAGTATGTGTGTGTATGTGTGTGCTGTGTGTGTATGTGTGTACACTAATGAAGCCTTTTATAAAAAGTTAACTGAATGTTGGACGGGACGGATCTATTTACATTTCGTACGGGGGCGGGGGCAGCTATGCAGCCGGAAGGGCCCCAGGTGCCGAGATGAGTAGCTACCATCGTGTCGGCTTACTGGCCTTAATTAAAGACGTAATGTGATTAACAGCAGCATGTATTGTTGTATTAAGAGAATGGCGCAATACTGTTATGTTACACACATATAAACACATACAAGCACACACACACATACACACAAGTAACCAGTGTTGATTTTCTACAGTTTTGTCCTGTTAGATGGGGGAGGGGGGGGAGAGAGAAAGAACCGCACACTGATTGAAATACATATTTTGTATATACGAAGAAATGCCTGAAAGAAGCTCTGCAAGTAACAGAATCAATTGGGAGACGAAAATCTTAAGCACACGACTTTCAAAAGACGACCTCATACACACATTTGTTTGGATCTATATATCTGTTGGGTTATCAACGCGGTATCGATACCCTCTATCGACACCCCACATCCACAACGCTAGAGTCCTGGAGTAGAGGCGAGTTTAAAATGGGGTATCGATACTCTGTAATTCCTGCCACATATCCAACGTTAGGGGACTGGAGTAGAGGCGAGTTAAAAATAAATCATTGGAAACTATATCTGGGACGGAAGTCGGAGGTCGGCGATGCATGACGGAAGTTGTTTGGTTAAAGCTGAGACGAAAGTCGAGAAACTGAAAACTGTAACTATGAGAATTGTAACTATGAGATAATGTAACTATGAGATTTGTAACTATGAGAGTTGTTGCTATGAGATTTGTAACTATGATATTTGTAACTATGAGTTTTGTAACTATGAGTTTTGTAACTATGAGTTTTGTAACTAAGTTTGTTGCTTTGAGATTTGCAGCTGTGATATCTGTAGCTACGGGCGCTATAGTTATAAAGTTCAAACTATGAGAGTTGTAACTTGTAACTATGAGATATGCAGCTATGAGATTTGCAGCTATGAGATATGCAGCTATGAGATTTACAGCTATGAAATTTGCAGCTATGAGATTTACAGCTATGAGATTTACAGCTATGAGATTTGCAGCTATGAGATTTACAGCTATGAAAGTGTAAACTTGAAAACATGTGAGCGTCGAATCTTCTGCCTTCATTACCTAACCTACACACATTTTCAAAATATTATTTGATTTCAGAGTTTCTTCCAGGCATCTTCTCGGGGGGGGGGGGGGGGGGGGGAGAGACCCTCTGATGAAAGTCTACCGCCCCGCCGAACAACATGGAATTTACATAGAAAATATATACTTTTAACAATGTCCGCCCCCCCCCCCCCCCCCCACGGAGAAAAAAGTCTGGAAGAAACACCGTTTGATTTACAAGTTCATCTTATCGATTAGCCATACTAACATCATCGTACCGCTAGTGCGCGGGGTATTGCTAATCACACACACACAAAAGATCAAATACATTTACTGTCCTAGAGAGATCGAACATATCGGCCATGACATCTGGAGAATTTTATGACTAGTCTTCAATCACGCGTTTAGCATAGCTGGGATTACAAATACATCGTTCAGTTGAGGGGGATAGGGGAGATCACTCCGATATTTTATACATACTTTTTTAAAAGTTAAAAACAATTTTTAAAGAAAACCAAGACGTTGGATACACAAGACTTGGTAAATTAAAAAAAATTAAAGTTAACGCTATTGAAGCATAAAAATTTAATAATAGTAATATTTAATAATTAATAATATATACAATTACTTTTATGTACAATATTAATATTATAAAATATAATATTATAAAACGTAATATTATAATTTACTTTACCACTGCTGAAACTGTATGTGAGAATGATTCCTGCAAATTATTCTGTTAGCTCTGTTAGATCATTAACTCAAATCTCATACTGAATAACAAATACATCCGTTTAGTAACTTAAGTTAGAATCCCATTTATTTTGGCTTCACATAGGCCCTAAATAAAATGTATTTTATTTTAGAAAATAAAAAAAAACAACTTACTAATTAAATGGATGAAATCACACAAAAGTAATCCTGAACTATAAAAGAAAAACACAGTGCATTTCTGTTTTCTACTTGATCCGCTTTATGTGACCAGCGAACTGACAACTCAGAAGAAATCCCAGTTGTGTTGACTACTAGAGACACGGTTACCTCCCGTCTTATGAATGAATGCGTGGCGGAGGAATTTCGAGGCGAAGCGATGGAATGCACTACTTCCTCTTCCGCAGGTCTGACGGCGACGTGACACGACTGGCCCGTCGACCAATGAGCGGGTGCTGTTTGCAGTGGGCGGAGCTTAGGCGCAGGGTTGAAAAAAATGTAAACACGAAGATTAGCGATGTACGGACAGCCGGCAAGTTCACTTTTCGGTGCAGTGGTCCAGCAGATATTTTTCCCCACAGTATTTAAAGTTAAAAATTAATAGATGAAAAGAGTCGCTTGGCGACAGGTAAAACAAGATCATATGTAGTCGTTAGAACAAAGGGAAGACAATTCATCTGCTCAAGGGATATAACCGCGAAAATTGCAAGCATCAATAATAATTAATATAAAGTAAAGTTATAAAACAATATATTATTAATCCATATCACCATACAATACAACAGTGGCGTCGCTAGGTCGGGAGTCACCAAGTGCGGCACATCATGCGGCAATTGATGTCACCCCCCCTCCCCCCCCCCCCCCCCCCAACTCATTTTGCCTAATGGCGCTTTTAGTGCGAACGTTATATCGTCGTTTTAATAGTAAATTATTAGATTTGGTGTCACCCCCTCCACCGATCGTTGACTGACTGATCAGTGTTATTGAAAATACTCGACAATACTTTTTCTCTGTAAATTCTGCAGTTGGTGTGTGCCCCCCCCCCCCTCCCCCTTATCGGGATCGTGAATTTGTACCCCCGCCTAGCGACGCCGCTGCAATACAACACAAAGAGAACAAAATAAAAAGTAAAACATGCCTACTACTCCCTACATCTTATGCGTAACCTATCAGCACTAAACTGTTTGTATGACGTCACCAGCACTACACAAAACATTATGTGTGACGTCACCAGCACTACACAAAACATTAAGCCTGACGTCAAAACCAACAGCACTAAAAACCAAAAGCTGACAATTTTACACCGGACATGACGATCTGCGATTTGTCGACAGACATTGACTGGAATATTAATAAAATTAGCTTGTCTAGACACTCAAGTGGTCACGTGTTCACGGGGAGGGATGAGAGGGCGGGGAAGGAGGGTGGCGAGGGAGGGTGGCGAGGGAGGGTGGTGAGGGAGGGTGGAGAGGTAAATTGTTTACTTTGAACTGGGAATCTGCCAGTCGCGAAATTCGTATTCTCGACTCGAGGTAAACCATTTCTAACAACCCCCTGTTCTCAATTCGTGGTAAACCATTTCTTACAACCCCCTGTTCTCAACTCGAGGTAAACCATTTCTAACAACCCCCTGTTCTCAATTCGAGGTAAACCATTTCTACCAACCCCTTGTTCTCAACTCGAGGTAAACCATTTCTAACAACCCCTTGTTCTCAACTCGAGGTAAACCATTTCTAACAACCCCCTGTTCTCAACTCGAGGTAAACCATTTCTAACAACCCTCAACTCGAGGCAAACCATTTCTAACAACCACATGTTACCACCTGACAATAAAGCGTCTAATATAAACCACTGCTCAAAACAGGGAATAAACGGTTTATAACAGTCTCCAGCTTTGTACTGGAAGCCGGCCAACCCAGCTCCTGAATGAAGTCTACAAGAGATTTAGAACAATAATACCCAGGTACTGTAGTGTAGATTCGTGGATTGTATTTGACGTCCAAAGTATCTGGTTCGTTTCAAGAGTTTTGGTTGAACCCAAGGTTAGGGTTCGAGGAATAGATGGTGCTGTTTGAAAAATACATTGTTGTAAAGCTGTTGTTGAGCTCCCCCTCTTGCTATATATATATATATATATATATATATATATATATATATATATATATATATATATATATATATATATATATATATATATATATATATATATATATATATATATATATATATATATATATATATATATATATATATATATATATATATATATATATATATATATATATATATATTAAACCCCACCCCTCCCCTCTTTCCACATGTATGACAACCCCCCCCCCCCCCCCCCACCACCACAACCTCTATACTTGCGCACTTAACAGCGGTCTATGAATGAAGTGTGACACAAATTGTTTATTTCGCCCCAACGAAGAACCGCCAGGAAGCTCCAAGGGACGGGGTCCAGAGAACTTTTTGTTTCGGCTAACTGGTAGGGAACAGGAATTTGTTGAGGAACATAGTAGCAAGGAACAGGAATTTGTTGAGGAACATAGTAGCAAGGAACAGGAATTTGTTGAGGAACATAGTAGCAAGGAACAGGAATTTGTTGAGGAACATAGTAGCAAGGAACAGGAATTTGTTGAGGAACATAGTAGCAAGGAACAGGAATTTGTTGAGGAACATAGTAGCAAGGAACAGGAATTTGTTGAGGAACATAGTAGCAAGGAACAGGAATTTATTGAGGAACATAGTAGCAAGGAACAGGAATTTGTTGAGGAACATAGTAGCAAGGAACAGGAATTTGTTGAGGAACATAGTAGCAAGGAACAGGAATTTGTTGAGGAACATAGTAGCAAGGAACAGGAATTTGTTGAGGAACATAGTAGCAAGGAACAGGAATTTGTTGAGGAACATAGTAGCAAGGAACAGGAATTTGTTGAGGAACATAGTAGCAAGGAACAGGAATTTGTTGAGGAACATAGTAGCAAGGAACAGGAATTTGTTGAGGAACATAGTAGCAAGGAACAGGAATTTGTTGAGGAACATAGTAGCAAGGAACAGGAATTTGTTGAGGAACATAGTAGCAAGGAACAGGAATTTGTTGAGGAACATAGTAGCAAGGAACAGGAATTTGTTGAAGAACATAGTAGCAAGGAACATGAATTTGTTGAGGAACATAGTAGCAAGGAACAGGAATTTGTTGAGGAACATAGAAACGAGGAAGATGTATTTTCGACTAATGAAGAACTTGTGTTTGCTAACTTGCCGTTAACAAACGGGAACTATGTATTCGTTCACTTATAGGGAACCGGGGAACAGTATATGTTGGCTTACAGGGAACATATTTTCAAACTATTTAATACGCATAGCTTGAGTCAGCAAAAACCTTTTAAATTCTATGGTAGAAATATTTACAGTGAAATAATTATTGCATGGTTAATCAGTCTAAATAAGATTCGATGCTGATATTCCGAATGATGACACAGATGTTTGTGAGTGTTAATTAGATACTTTGGCTTTTCTAAAATTTAGATACATATGTGATGTAAACGTGAACCGATTTATGTACTTTTGTGAGAAAAATGTGAACCACTTTATGTACTTTTAGAGGAAAATGTGAACCAATTTATGTACTTTTGTGAGAAAAAATGTGAACCAATTTATGTACTTTTGTGAGAAAAATGTGAACCTCTTCTTCTGGTGCAATTACCAGGAACGTGAGTCGGCAGACGGCAAAAACGCACCAAGCGGCAACCAGTTGATAGTCTGCAGACGTGATTTGCTGTTTACTGCCGGATGTCATCTGGAAGTGCCTGACACCCCGAGCATCTCCCCCCCCCCCCCCACACCGCGGCCACATGTGGCGGTGTGTGGATGATTGGGTTGATGTTGCGGTGGTGGGGGGCAGGGTTTTAGTTAAACATTGCATCTTGAGGGAGAAGGGGGTGGGGGGGGGGGGGGGAGGAATGCTCCAGTTAGTGGCTAGCTAAACATTGCACCTTGTGAGTAAGATTGTGTGTATGTGTGTGTGTGTGGGGGGGGGTGTAGGGGGGGGGAGTTAGTGGGATAAGGTATGCTACAATCTGGGCATTGATCCTTGAATGTTGCTTTGTGTTGGGGTGGGTTAGTGGTATAACTCACGTGGTAGTAGTATAACTCACGTGGTAGTGGTATAACTATAACTCACGTGGTAGAGGTGTAACTTACGTGGTAGAGGTATAACTCACGTGGTAGAGGTGTAACTTACGTGGTATTGATATAACTCACGTGGTAGTGGTATAAATCAGTATGTAGTGTGTGTGTGTGTGTGTGCCAGTGGTGTAGTATGCGTGCGTGTGTGAGTGAGTGTATGTCAATAGTATGTAGTGTGTGTGAGTTAAAATTCTTAATGAAGCACAAGTAGTTTCATACAAATGCGCAATAGTTGTTTACATTTAAAATTTTTAAATAAAAGATCGTTTAAAAAAAATAAAATTCCCAAGCGGGGAATCGAACCCCGGCCGCCGCGGTGAGAGCGCGGAATCCTAACCACTAGACCACTTGGGACAAGTACTCGGATATGTAGATTTGTATTCAACACACAAAGATAGTTCTCTCGTTTATAGACATGTAAGCCGCACCGAACTGCACTTTAGTTTGGTGTGATGTCTTAGGTATTCACACGATTGCAGATTTTGTTTATATTCGTTTCACAATTTTTACCAGAGAAAATTTTATCAAATAGGAATCTGTTTTGGGATTTAGAGATTTTAGAATGTGGTGCAGTGTGTATGTGTTGTGTGTGTGTGTGTGTGTATGTCAGCTGTATGTCGTGTGTGTGAGAAGTGGTGTAGACAGTGTAGTGAATGTAGAAGTGGTGTAATGTGGTCCCTTGTTTTAGGCAAAAGTTTACTAACACAGAAGCAACAGTATATGATGTTGGCCTATATGTTCAAAAGTTAATCCATTATTTTTTAAAGCCGCTGTTTTTTTTTTCTAAAAAAAACAAAAAAAGGTTCCAGCGAGGCTCGAACTCGCGACCTTCTGCGTGTGAAGCAGACGTGATAACCACTACACTATGGAACCTGTTAAATATTCACTAATCGTATTAGCCTAATTATTATTTAAACACGGGTGCAATATGGTGGCAAGCGCAGTGTGTGCGACTATCTTTCACTACCAATATCAGTACAAAAATAGTGTAACATGGGGTTGGGTATCTCAGAAAGATTTTAAATCATAAGGGAAATAAAAAAAATGTCTAGGTCTATGTGTAATGGTGAGGATAGTGTTTGTGCTTAGACTAAACATTGAAGTCTGCCTGCTGAGTCTCCTGTTTTGGCGAGAAACAACAGCAACAGTTTTAGCTAACGAACTACATAAACAGACAAGCTTACAACAGCGAAAGTTTTGGCTAGATAGCAATAGCTGCTGTTTGGCTAGCTAACAAACAGCACAATCACCACATGCAGAGGCCTATTTATCAACAAATCCAGCCAAACGTACATGGACAGTTAGACAATGCTGAAAATCAAACTGGAGATTTTGAAATGTTTTCGTAATTATTGACTAAACGGATAGGACACACAGACACCCGTGTGTATCAGCCCAACTCTATAGACGATATAGGTTGGTCTGTGGAGCAACTACAACAATAGGCTTGAAAAGCTGGTTCCAAATGGTTGTTGTCAGAAAGCATATTTTTCAACAAAAATTAATATTTTACAACATTTGTGAAAGAAGTACATAATGATTTCCGGTTTCATTAAGGCTATTAAAAATGTAACTATAATTTTAGCGCTTGCCATATTTATTTTAAAAGATTTTTAAAAAATGGACATAGACTTTTCAAGCCTATTATAGTTTACCTTAAGCTGCTAAAAACATTGAAATCTTTCCTAAACTTGATGTCACAGTGTTCAACAAAGATACACTTCTCATATAGAGCACGGGGAAATATCTGCCAGTGATAAATTAGAATTTAAAAAAAAAAATATTTCCCAAGCGGGGAATCGAACCCCGGCCGCCGCGGTGAGAGCGCGGAATCCTAACCACTAGACCACTTGGGACCGCCATTTTTGCAAAATATCGTAATCTCAATACGTTAGAGGTGCAACTCTAAAATATCATATTATATTTTTTTTAGTTAAGCGCGTTTAGAAAATAAAATTGTATACCATAAACATAAAGAAATATTTTTTTTTTGCTCAGGATTTTGCTTTGAAATGGTAGCAAAAAAGTATTCATTATTTTCATAATTTATGAAAAATATGGTTCCAGCGAGGTTCGAACTCGCGACCTTCTGCGTGTGAAGCAGACGTGATAACCACTACACTATGGAACCTGCTCCTGATAATCAAATTGTTGATTGAAGTGGGGTTTTTTTCCAGACTTTTTTCTAATATTTCCGGGGGGGGGGGGGGGGGTTGACACTAATAAAAAATTTTTTTAAATATAAATTTCATTTATCCCCCTCCCCCGAAGAGATGCCTTGAAGAAACTCTGGCTGATTGTTCGACCAAGGATGCCCTAATGTACTAATGCTATACTAGAAAGTCTAGTGTGCTCGTAACATCGTAATGGTACAAGAGAAGGAAGAAAACAGCTACAACAACAGCTACGGTTTTGGCTAGCTAACAACAGCTACGGTTTTGGCTAGCTAACAACAGCTACAGTTTTGGCTAGCTAACAACAGCTACGGTTTTGAGTAGCTAACAACAGCTACGGTTTCGGCTAGCTAACTACAGCTACGGTTTTAAGTAGCTAACAACAGCCACGGTTTCGGCTAGCTAACAACAGCTACGGTTTTGGCTAGCTAACTACAGCTACGGTTTTGGCTAGCTAACTACAGCTACGGTTTTGGCTAGCTAACAACAGCTATGGTTTTGAGTAGCTAACAACAGCTACGGTTTTGGCTAGCTAACTACAACTACAGTTTTGGCTAGCTAACTACAGCTACGGTTTTGGCTAGCTAACTACAGCTACAGTTCTGACTAGCTAACAACAACAACAACAACACACCACCGCATGTCTAACAACCACACCGTCAATAGATCAACGTACGAGGCTCGACAATATTATTAACACACTTGAACGGTTCTAACATTTTGCTGGATCGGGTTGATTATTGTCACTGATAAAGCAAAAAAAAAATGTATTCGAACGACGTGTCACCGATGATGCCTTAAATACACAACATTATTAGATTAAAAAAAAATTCCCAAGCGGGGAATCGAACCCCGGCCGCCGCGGTGAGAGCGCGGAATCCTAACCACTAGACCACTTGGGATATACATGTTAACTCGTTCGATGTTTCGTCAATTCTTTAGGCAAGATGTAGTCTATTGCCATTCCCTGAACTTTGCTTTAAACCGAGTCTTCTAAAACAAAGTTTTCATCGAACAGGCACCTACACAATTTCATCTCTAAAAGTTTAATTTTAGCGCTCTGCTCCAAAACTGGCCGGAATAAAACAGGCTACAGCCCCACCCTCGTACTCCTTATATCAGACACCCCCAATATGTCTTGTCACAATATCAAACACCCCCAATATGTCTTGTCACAATATCAAACACCCCCAATATGTCTTGTCACAATATCAGACCCCCCCAATATGTCTTGTCACAATATCAGACCCCCCAGTCCCCCGTCACACACCTGCAGTTACCAGAGAACACCTGTCTATATGCGAGTCGCTCACCTGTCACAATTGTAATTCATTCTCTGGAAGACGTGAGTGTGAGCGTGCGTGTGCGTGCTGTCTACTGCTCACTTTCACTCGACGCGCCTGTCTTGACAATATTCTGTGTTGGGGAAGGCTATTTACATGTGCTGTATTTTAGATGTTAGCTGGGTGGATGGATGGGTGGATGGATGGAAGGGTGGATGGATGGATGGGTGGATGGATGGATGGATGGATGGATGGATGGATAGATGGATGGATGGATGGATGGATGGATGGATGGATGGATGGATGGATGGATGGATGGATGGATGGATGGATGGATGGATGGATGGATGGATGGATGGACGGATGGACGGATGGACGGATGGACGGATGGACGGACGGACGGATGGACGGATGGACGGATGGACGGATGGACGGATGGACGGATGGATGGATGGATGGATGGATGGATGGATGGATGGATGGATGGATGGATGGATAGATGGATGGATGGATGGATGGATGTATGGATGGATGGATGGATGGATGGATGGATGGATGGATGGATGGATGGATGGATGGATGGATGGATGGATGGATGGATGGATGGATGGATGGATGGATGGATGGATGGACGGATGGACGGATGGACGGATGG